TGGCCATGCTTGGAAAAATAAGCGAACTTGAAAGGTAATAACATAGTGAAATATACAATATAATTTATGCTGACATTAAACTTATATACAACATTTAATAACATTTCAGTTTTATTCTAAGCAGAGCGCGATGACAAGGACGTGAATTAAATATTGAAATATATTTAATATGAATATGAATTTAATATAATATTTATATGAATTAAATATTATGAATAATATTTATGAATTAACATTTATTATATTACACTGGCACTAAATTTAAATATATTTTCCAGAAATCAATTATAATAAAAAAAAAAATTATCCAGCAATTTTTCGTTTTGCGGACCATTTGGCGCCCCTTTGTGAGTAGCGCCCGGGGCATGATGCCCCCCCTTGCCCACCCCTCGCTACGCCACTGGATTTTTTATACTTAAAAAAATTTATTTAAAAGGAATCCTGAAAAAATAGAGTTCATATCGTGAACATAATGTGATGTTCAATCAGGAGTCATGATGTTCAATCATCGTGCTCATGGCATTGTATCTCCTCGATACTTTCGTTAATTATTAAACTATAATTAACTCTTATTAATACAAATTATTTTTTAGTATTTTTTCATATTTTTTTTGCAAATAAAATGAAATCTTCTTAATTATCAATAATCATTCATACATATGATGTAAGAAAAAAGCATATATGAATTAATAAAATTAATATATTTTAATGAATTCGAGATAAATTGACAAAGTAAAGTTGATACAAGTGAACAAAATTTAATCATAATATTTATTTGACTATGCTGTTTTCTAAGTTCAAGACATTTTGAGAAAAAAATTTGATAAAATTCTCTCCAAATTTAGAACACACCGTCAGATGGCGACAGACTAAATATGAATTAATTATAATTAATTTTACACAACGTGTCATTGTTTCGCCATTTTTCATATTTTTTCTTCTTTAAACGCACCTACAAATAATATCTTGAAATGCAAAATAAGAAAAATATAAAAATAATGATAAATAAAAAATTTGATAAACAAATAAATAAATAAGTAAATAAAAAAAATTAATAAATAAATAAATAGGAATAAAAAATCAATAAAATAAATTAATAACATCAAAAAAAGAGATTTCACTTCAGATTACACTATTTTCTTTTGAATAGTTACTTTGAATGGTCGAATTTTAATTATCTATGCATACTTACTTTTCAATTATTGCAGGACCCCACAGATGCACCAAAATATCACATAAGATTGTGTATTCTCCTGGCAAAAACGTGCACAATTCCGAAACCATATCAGTAACTGTCTTATTATTTACCTCCGCAACTTGCTCAATCAATCCAACCAGCACAGTACATGCTGAAAACAAAATCAATTTATAATAAAAGCATGCTACATTACTTTATGAGCTACATTTCAATGTATTATTTTATGAACCAATTTCAATTTTCGCGCTTCAATTTTAAATTAGATTTACTTACATTTAAATGAACCAGCACATTTTTATATATTCCTATGCAGTTTTAATTCCGATGATGTGCCCGAACTCCGCTAAAAGTTTGTGGCAACATTTACGCGACCCCCTGTTATCTATATAAAGTTTAGGCAAATTTCTCCTAATACTTGATCCAGGAGTTCCCTTGTCTTCTGGATTGTGTTCAAAATTACAAGGCTACGGAGTTGAACATTAGTAGTCGTAAACCCATAAAATTGGATCAGCTGTTTAACGATAGTTATAAAATAAAAACAGAAGGGCGGGTTGTTAAAAGACGCTGGATTGGAAAATCACTGCAGGGAGTAAAATTTGTATCAACCAACCACCACTGGGATTCGAACTTGGGTCACTTCATTGACAGGCAAACACTCTATCCCCCCTGAGCCACCGTGGGTCTAGGGGCAGGGGGAAAAACGATGTATGAATCCCGAATGAAAAATGATTGCATAATATATTATTCTTATATAATATTATTCTTGGATAATGAGTTGAAACCGCAGCAACCTATTTCATTCGGTTATGAGTTGATTTAATTTGGTTCTAAATAGGAAGTAGAGAAATTTTATTTCCGAAATGCTCAAAAACTTAATGGTTTGCCTCGTAAGTTTCTCAGGTAACTGATTTTTTTTAATTTTAAATTCTAAAAAAAGATTCCTGGATGAGAATACGGTTTTCATATTTTAAAATTAAAATAATAATAATTCGCTGTCTATAAAAAAAATACGCATTTACAAATCTGCGAACAAAGAGCATTTATTTAAAGTAACATTTCCTCAGTAAACATTTTCTCTGTTAGTAAACAATCTGTCTGACAGAGAATAATGCTCATTCGAAGAGAGATAATAATTTTTAAGTACAAAATTACACGTTTAACCGCAACAGCAAATATTGAAGTTCGCACGCTTTTCCATCTCCGTCACAATAAAATGATAAATATATAACTGATAAGTACATAAAGTTATCGAAAAATTTGTATCAAAATTACACTTTTCATTCATCATTTATGAACCTATCTTTTTTTTCCCGCGAAATCTAAAAGGGTTTGTATCTAATCAAAGCGATAAATCTTATCATTGGATTCATCAGGTACGATGGAACTCAATGTACTAAAAAATAAATAAATTAAATGATGGTGTGTGTGTGTTATTTGCACCTTTATTAGATTATATATGATGTTTACTAAATAAATGAAACACCAGACGCGGGTATTATGTCATCATTATTCAAGGTTATTATTTCATTAAGTTAATTAAAAAAAGGTTACTACTGTATTTCCAAGCATTATTGTTTCGTAAATAATAATTTATAATTAAAAGCAGTGATAAAAATAAAGCAACAGATATTGAATAAAGTACTTTTTTGTTCTTCAATTTTCTACAAAGAAATCCTATAATGGGGATATTCTAAATGAAAGTTTGTAACACCAGCAAATATTTTCTTAATTGTATAAAGAAAAAAAATTCTACATTCTCAGTTTCACCCGCAGGTTCGAGCTTAGAGGGTCGCAAACTGAGCGAACTTTTTTTTGCTCCGGAATAAATTAAGGGGGTCAAAAATGTTCTGCCCCCGTTTATAGAATTATCTTACCCTTATTCATTTCTTTCTCATTATTTATCTTAAAAATAATATTGTCTACATCATCTAAAGCAAAACAGTTTGAGGTCGTGAAATCCACAATTTGAAGATAACTGGTTGAATAGTTTCTGAGAAATTAACACGTAAAATGGGCGAATTTTTAAGCTTTCATTGTTTAAAAAAAATAATTCTTGATTTCGATTAAACTTACTATTTCGCTTTCTGTATTGAAAGCTACCTTATCTAATTTTTCATTTTATATCTTACGTTTCATGATTTTCTTTAAAATTTAAAGTCAAAATGGCTAAGAAAAAAATAATAATAATGATCAATTTGTGAAATTATTTTCAAGCCTAAAATAAAATTTTTAGGTAAAAATAAAAGTAAAGTGAAAGTAAAATTCTTAATAAAAATAGAATTTTTAGGCTAAAATTAATGATCACTCTCCTGACTATAGAATATTGGAATTATAATTTCCAAGTGGCACAACTCTTCCTATTTTAAGGATCCAAAACTCCTCTGTCAAGAACAAGATATATTTATTGAAAGAAAGTTTTTTTTTAATATTTTATTTCGTAGCATAAATTATTGTTTAAACTAACTAGAATTTTTGAGGTTACCCTTTTGTACCATTCAGAATGCATCTTAATACATAATTTCGATCGATAAATCAAAAATTATTCAGAATAAATAATTAAAAAAAGCAACAACAGGGAAATTGCTTTTTTTTTATTTTGCCACTGAAATATTTGTCTACACTAATTAATTCGTAATTTTTAGGTCATCCCCTTGAACCTTTACGAATGTATCTTAGAACATGAAATTTCGATTCTTAGATGAAAAGTTATTCAGAGTATAACTTTTTCGTCCAACCCACACTGTTTTTCACCAAAATCATATTCGCTCGTTTTTACTTTGGACTTCGCTTTTCCCTTCGTGAAAAATCATACAGTTTGTTTTTATTTTAAGCTGGTAGATTTTTCTATTTTTACTTCACATTTTGTTAGGGGATATGATAGGCTAATGTTGTTGAAATAACAAAATTTTAATTTGTTTGAAAAAAAAATTAATGAAGTAATTTGAATTTATTTTCAAAGCTTCATACTGATACACAAATTTTTTGTAAAATTGTGATAGATACAATTCTTATTTCATTTGTTTAATTTTAAAGAATCATCATCTTTCCTTAGGCTACGACACATGTAAAACAATAAACATTAGGGCACAAAAAACAACTAGTTTTTATGATTTAACATTATTTCAAAATGAAATCTTTTGTCGTTATAGGTTTGAATCACTACAATTTTTAAAAAGCGATTACTTAAAATTTTAAATAAAATATTCTACGGATTGAGTGGTTATTTGATCACTATGATGCATCTGAATATATCTTAAAAACATCTTATGCAAACATAGTTATTTGTGGTTTTTTGTTGTAAATCAATATTATTATACTGTTTCGAAATGCAACATTTCTTGAAAAAAAAATGAATCAGTGATTTTTCATAACAATATGAGCCTTATAATAAACCCTTTTAAATTATAACGATAAAATTCTGTTATCACTAAATTGTTGTAATTATTCATTGAACGGGTGATTTAATATTATTTTATTTGTTATTATTATTTTTGCAGCATGCGCACTTTAGTTTTATTGAAATCGACAGAGAAAATTATTTTCCAAAACAAATAAAACAATATATTGAAACATCTTTAAGTTGAAATTTTTAAATATTTAAAATCTACTTGTTTGAAAATACAGATTACGTTATTTTATTGTATAAAAATATAAATGAATACTTTTAAAAAAAAGTACATAATTTTTTTTAAATTTAAAATAAACGAAAATTTTACATTTTATACATTCTAATAAATAATATCAAATAAAATTAACTTGATACTGAAAAGTTAAATAGAGTTCATTAAAAATTCCCGACGGTTTAATTTCCACAGCAAAGCAATTTAGTACATTGTTATATTAATTAGATCCTATTCTATTTTACAGTACAAAATTTGCGCGAATGCATTTTTTAAAAGAATTAAAATTTCATTTTTAATTGATCGAGATCTATGCGTTTTATAAATCTTAAAAATAACTTTTAAATAAGATTTACCTATTAGCGAAAAGTAAATATGTTACTTTTTTCTAATAGGTTTTGTATAATATTATTTCATTAAACAAAATTAACATGTTTTTTTTTTCCTTCTTTTTAAATTTAAACTGAAGGAAAACTGAAAACGTTTTACACGTTCTGAAAACTACTTTAACCCTTTGACTCAAAATTTTTATTAAACATATTTTTCATACTTTTTTTTCATTATTTTGTATTTATTTAGGTATAAATAAGTGAAACAATATTATATTTAGCCTTTTAATGATTTATGGTTATGAAATACCGGTGTATTTTTCTGCCTTAAACGTCTGCCTTAATAACTATCTTCCCAACACGGCTCACTTCCAAACAATAATTTTTCAAATTTGCTCTTATTTGCATTCATTTAGATTTAAGATAAACAATCATCAATGAAATTTCTTTAATTTACAAAATCAATTATTGATACATTTCCGAATAAGAATGAAAAAAAATTTAAACTACTTTTTTGGATTTTATATTTTAGTACATATATAATTCCGATAATCTAACAGATTTTAGTAACTATTAGACTGGTTTTTATAATTTATATGTATATATATATTTTTTTTTCTACCACCCTCTTTACTTAGCTATAGAAAATAAATTTTTTGGATTGCAAATACCCCTCATATTTTGATAGTCAGAAATCCGAATCCATAAGAAATTAAGAGGTCTATTCTATATTATATCTGCTATATTTAAAAAATGTCATTTATATTTAATATCGCATTAATTAATTATTTCTGTGTTAAAAGTAAAATCTTCCGAATTCGGCTCACTACAAAACGCTAATTTTTCAAATTTGAGCTTTTTGGCAGTTATTTAAAACTAAGAGAAACAGTTATTCATAATTAAAAATTCTTTAATTAACAAAATTGATAATTTATTTTGATAAAATTTTAAATATGAATGAAAAAAAAATTCCAAACTACTTTTTTTTAATTTTATATTTTAGTACGAATATAATTCTGATGATGTAACAAATTTTTTTTTAGTAACTATTAGACTGTTTTTTATAACTAAGAAATACCATATTATGTTCTTGTTTGTAATTAGAATGTCAGAAAAAATATATAAAAGAGACACCGGCATCCCATCTGCAATAAAGGGTTAAATTAACATTTATTTATTAGAGAAAAATAAATAAAGTACTTTAATTAAATTAAATTGTTTAGTTAATTAAATTGTTTTCACATACCTGCACATGCTTTACCACCATTAACATCAATGACATCATTAGGATCACTTGCATGGGCAAACGATTTCAAAGAAACTAACACAAAAAAGGGGAAAACGAAACCTAAAATTTTGAATTTCATTTTTAAATTTTTTTTTTAACAGTAATGCTCGAAACATAACAAGTGCTCAGTTTATACTAGCATTTATACTTTTTGCAAACGATACAAATGAACTTCGAACCTATGACATGATACATGATGTCAGCCTTGCAGATATTTTGGATGAGGGGCTCAAATAATGCTGAGTTTGAGTCAGATCGGCTTTTTTTTCGAAATCATCATATTTTATTTTAAATGTATTTCACTTGTTTCAAGATTGCGTTGAAGATAAGGCTTCTTATCATTTTTGAAATATTGATCGAATTATTTTCCTTTCTCATTCCATATGATGGCATCAGTATTCTACCATAATAAATATATTGATAAGGCTTATTATATTAGTTATGCGTAATTTCGGAGAATATTTGCTTTTGCATAACACACGCGTATTTGTTTGTAAACAAATTTATGAAACGTATTTAATCATATTTTATTTTGTCGTTTTAAGGTTAAGCGACTTATCAATACATAGAACGTAATAAAAAATATTAAATTGCAATGATTAAAAAAAGTTTTCATAATCGAGAAGTAATCATTTTAAACGCAATGTTTTTTTTCTTCTAATCATTAAAAAATTTCCCTAAATTTGAAGTTTTAGTCTAATCGTACTGTAAATGTCGAAAAAGTTCACCACTTCATACAATTTTTTAAATTTTTTTTTTAATAAAAGTTGTAATTTCTATAATAAATTTTGGATTACTGCCTTAATAAAAAATAAACAAATACTAGCCAATTATTTCTTATTTTAACTTGGGAGACATGTTGATTAAGGATATTTCTGTTAAAAGGTAATTCATTTATTTATTCAAAATTCAAATCATAAGTGCTCTAGGAAGAATAGCTATTAATATGCAAACTTTTTTTAGCTAACACGTGAAGACACATTTTAAAATTTAAAAATGCTATCATAGAGGCAGTTCATAAAAAATAGAAAATAAGGACCTCCTAGTATATCTTTTGTTATAAATTAGAAAACAATGTACCATTAAACAAATTAGGACACAATACACCACTAGGAAATGTACCAAGTTCTTGCGAAAGAAGTGGACAGAAATCGAGTAGAATTTTTAGTGATTTTCATGACGGACTCACGCAGACATATAGAAATCAGCATTTTAAAAATATGGCCTGTGTTATACCGTTTTAATACGTCAGATACAACTAAATTGCTATGTCTCATGTAAATTTCTAAGTGTTCTTATTTAACTGCAATTGAATCAGATGTTTATAGCAAATAATTTTAATTTATCTAGCTGTGAAAACTGTGATATAGGTAATATATAATACAGCTTATATAATATGCAGTTTCAGAATAACTTTTGCTAAAGTTTAATAAAAAAACAAACAGTTTAATGTTGTCTCGTGATTTTTTTCACTGTTGCCATAATTATTGTGTTAAATTATTTCTGTCCAGTCGTCGCAAAAATGGGTCCCATGACTTCATGAATGGTCTATTTTCAAATAAAATAACCATTTTAAAAATTTTTTATTATATGTGCTGTTTTCTAAATAAATAAAGCTTTGACAAGTTAGGGATGTTTTATTGATTTCTCCCCCTGTTACTAGCATTATTGTTTTAATGTTCATTTGATTTTTTAAGGGTAAGATCAAATTATGCTTCTGAGTTTTGTAGAAACAATTCTTTTCAATTCAACCAGTCCAAATAAATTGGCTCGTAGTTTCTTTTTTTACCATTCTGTTACATTTTCACACTGTTACCATGCTCATGGGTATGATAGTTAATTAGTAAATATATATAGATAGTTAAGATAATTGTGTAAATAATCTATAGATTAATTTAAGTTAAGTATTAGCGTTATTTATTTATGTGTTATAATTGTAATACTGCTAATCTTTCTGATTAAATTTAAATTATAAGAAGAAATACATTTTGTTTTCATGTTTTCTTTTAAAGCTTGATGTGTTAGATAAAAATATGAGGATGATTTCTTTCAATTTATCGACTTATAATTAGCATCTTAATTACCCATTAAATTTATTAAAAGAAATAAAGGTAGGTAACAATATTTGCAGGACTGAAATTGAGCAATTTGCAATACAAGGGCATTTAAAATGTAGCTCTACAAACAAACTTCTTTCCACTCTACCACTTATTAACCTACATTTCACTACATAATTAACAAAATGATTAATAATATAATTTGCTAAAAAATTAACAAAAAGCATTTTTAAGACATACAGTGGAAATTTGACATTTTAATATAAATTTGAATTATAAAATAGCATATTTAATCGTTTGCACTGAAACTTTTCAGAATTGTTCTTTGGTTCATTTAGAAGCGTGTAAACAACTTCTAAGCACTTTTGCGCTCAATACCAACACCTAGGTTTATCCAACCTAAGTGTTGGTAACTCCTAACCATAACCTAGGAGCAGGACAGTCTTAATAGCATGCAGGGCCCCCGGGCAAAGAAATGTTTTGGGCCCTTATGTCATACTGCTTAAAATCGAACTAAAAAACTTCACATACATAAAATAAAGCATTTTTAACATATGCAATAATTTGAACAAATTTAAATACATTTTGATTTATATTTGTTTTCAGTAGACCCAAAAAAACTGAATTCACATAAAACTTTCATTGGAACTAGAAAAATAGATTTTGGTTGCCTTTTTAAGTTTCCCTGGTGATAAACTATTCAAATTATTGTTGTTTGCAAGATAATCAATCACTATTTGTAGAAAGAAAAACAAAATACACACTTTATACAATATAACATATTTATTTTAAAAAATATATAAGGTAATTTTGTTTAGTCTTAGTTTTTTTTAAATACAATTTATAAAAAGTAAGATTCTCAAGGGCCCCCTGAGTGCCTGGGGGACACTCCGGGACTGCCCGGGTGTGCCCATGCATAAAGACGGTACTGCCTAGGAGGAGGTGTTAACTCCTCCACCAACCATAACCTAGGCTGCATTATTGAAAGACCTTCGGGAAGACAGTGTAACTAGCTGCGGAACTTCTTTTTCTTTCTTTCTTGGACATATCTTTAATTCCAATTTATTATTTGATGTAGTTGGTCACTTTACTAGTTTTTTGTTCGTTTTGAAATTATCAATTTTTACTTATAAAGAGGNATTAAGTAAATGCATACGTTTTTAGTAAACGCAGACATACAGAAATCAGTATTTAAAAAATACGGCCTGTGTTATACCGTTTTAATATGTCAGATACAACTAAATTGCTATGTCCCATGTAAATTTCTAAATTGCTATGTGTTCTTATTTAACTGCAATTGAATCAGATGTTTATAGCAAATAATTTTAATTTATCCAGCTGCGAAAACTGTGGTATAGGTAATATATAGTACAGCTTCTAAGAAAATATAGCTTTGACAAGTTAAAGATGCATTATTGATTTCTCCCCCTGTTACTAGCATTATTGTTCACTTGATTTTTTAATGGTAAGATCAAATTATGCTTCTGAGTTTTGTAGAAACAATTCTTTTCAATTCAACCAGTTTAAATAAATTGACTCGTAGTTTCTTTTTTTCCATTCTGTTACATTTTCACACTGTTACCATGCTCATGGGTATGGTAGTTAATATATATAGATAGTTAATATAATTGTGTAAATAATCTATAGAATAATTTAAGTTAAGTATTAGCGTTATCTATTTATGTGTTATAATTGTAATACTGCTAATTTTTCTGATTAAATTTAAATTATAAGAAGAAATACATTTTTTTTCATGTTTTGTTTTTAGGCTTGATGTGTTAGATAAAAATATGAGGATGATTTCTTTCAATTTATCGACTTATATTATAATTTATAACCCATTAAATTTATTAAAAGAAATACAGGTAGGTAACAATATTTGCATGACTGAAATTAAGTAAGTTGCAATACAAGGACATTTAAAATTTTGGTCTACGAACTTCTTTCCACTTTACCATTTATTAAGCTATACTTCACCACATATTTAACAAAATAATTACTAATATAATTCACTACATAATTAACAAAAAGCATTTTTAAAGGCATATGGTGGTATTGTTCTTTTGTTCATTGTAAATAATTTCAGCTGACACCAACTTCCAAGCACTTTTGAGCTCAATACCAACACCTAGGTTGGTTAACTCTTCCACCAGTCATAACCTAGGTGGCATTATTGAAAGACCTTTGGGAAGACGATGTAACTGGCTGCGGAACTCTTTTTTTTCTTTCTTGGACATATCTTTAGTTCTAATTTATTATTTGATGTAGTTGATCACTTTACTGGTTTTCTGAAATTATCAATTTTTACTTATAAGGTGGCGCAAAGAGTCGATTTCATAGGCAAGTGCATACGCCCTTAGCTTTGTACAAGATTTCATTACTTTTCAGTTTTTGTTGTCTTTTTTTTAATTTCAAATAAAAACAGTACTCCTGTTTTTCTGATCCATGGTTTAAAATTAATCTATTTGAGGTTAAAAAGTGCTAAGTTTGTAAAAGAGAGAACCAAATGCTCAGGACAATACTGCTAAACATAGCAGGATCATTGAGGAACACAAAAATAATCTGAACTTAGTATGTGTATCTGTCAGTTACGGCATAATTACCAGGCGCTTAGTATGAGCCAAAGCGAAAATCAGGACGCTTTTTTAGAACTGTATACCAAAGGGCTTTTAAAAAGGGTAAACAACAAACTAAAAAAGGTATAATTTTCTATTGTTCGAAGCATAACAAAGGTAAAATTTATTGCAGAAGAATAATAAAATCTGTTTTCAACTTTTGAATTATGTATAGAACAGAAAATTTTAAGTCTCAGCATAATTTTATAAATGGAACACTGATCAACTCATAATAGTTTGAGATCAATATATAAATTTTTTTTATCGTATTGTAAGCTATCTTCGAGAGAAGAGTTTTGAGAATTCTGGCAGGGTGCATAGCCAAATCTTTCAACAAAAAATAAGCACCTTTTAAGCACTCAAAAAATATTTTTAAGTACTATATACATTAACAAAATGCAAAATAATTTTCAAAGACTGTATATAATCATGATAAATAACCAGTTTCTGACAAAGAAGTCTTTTCTTGATTATATTAGTCATTATAAAAAGATGAAGAGGTTTTTCGATTCGATATCAGACGGTGGAAAATGAAGCCTGAAATGGAGAATCATCTTGTAAAATGCAGCAGAGTTGCACAAGAGAGTGCAATAATCTCATTGAATCCAGCTCAGTAGACGCACGTTCAGACTCCCATGTATTTAATCAAATATGCAACATGATTTGTGCTATCATACATTACGCCAAAATGGATTGTGGTTGAATGAATTGTGAAAACGTTGAATAGAACAATGTGAAAACCACGCTTTTGCACAATATGCAGCAATAATCGACATGATCAAGAAAAGAAAAAAAAAATTCGAAAAGGAAAAATTAAGCACTTTTTAAAAACACATCATGAAAAAAGCACCTTTAAGGGCTTTTAAAAACGAAAATAAGCACCTTTAAGCACTTTTTAAAAACGCCACGCGTGTGAGTCTAAAAACATAGAAAGAAAAGAAAGTATGACAAAGAAATGTATAACAAATAAAATGAATTGATTCAACAATAAAATTAAACATTTTCAATTTATTACATTATATTAAGAAAGTTATAACAAACATACATGGAAATTTCACGAGGAAATGACAAAACAAATTAACATAAAAAGCCAATTGCTTGAATTCAGCTTCAGATACTGACAATGCAAAACTGAGCATGAAAGAGGGGCAAACAAAAGGCAAGTTCCAGAATAATTTATTAAGCATAATCCATGGTAACTAGATATAGTTTTGCACACATATGTGTCCACCTCTTAGGGCTAAAACTAAATGTAAAACAGAACCACCAGTGACTTTATAGTCTGCTGCTGTTTTGTCATCACTCCTACAAAAAAAAAAAATTACTATATTTGATCATATTTATTCTAATTATATTATACAAATAAAAAATGGCTAGCTTTTTTCATCTCAATTTTAATTAGCAGCTATGCATATCTAATTTATCAAAATAAAGTATCTTTAAATATAGAATTACAGGTTAATTTAAGTCACTGACACAATAACTCATGTTTAGTAAAATAACAGGGAATCAATTAAACAGCTAACTTATTACTTTTTAAACATGGTTCCGATTTTCCAGTGTACTATTTGTGTATATAACATGTTTTACCCATTTCAGTTACAACATATTAATTTTACTCCTTCCACTTATTCTCCTTTTATGAGAGTTTACTTTTGTATCAAAACAAATAAACCAGAATGCTAAATAACAACCATTTTACTACAGTAAGGCATTAGACTACTGGAGTGAGAAATTATCTACAAATTATCAAAGCATATTGATGATAACTTTGGCAAGGTAAAGAATAAAACAGTTAAAAAATTTTAAAGGTGGGCATCTCTGCTTAATTATGCAGGGGATTATAGATAATTTTAGGGTTAGAAATAATTTCTTTTAGTAAAATTAACCTTATGAAATAAGAATAAATTTTAAAAAAATTAGTAAAGCTCAAATAAAGGTGCAGTGTTGTAACTTTATTTGTGATGTATTTATTGCTAGCTCAATTCTTTTATCGTGCTTTATTCATTCCTAGCACAAAGTCAAATATCCCATCCTCATTTGGATTAGGAAATGTGTTTTAGTGCTCTTTTTCTTAATTATTATCTAGCATAAAAAATGAACTTTATAAATGATTAACAATTGTTATTCTTTAGTCCTCCAGAAAATAGAAAAAAAAAACCAGTTACCTGGGAGGATATTTATCACCTAGATTCCTGATATTTGAATCATAACTGTATAATGAAATATTGCTCATAACTGTTTTTTTAAACATACAAATTAATAAATAACATTTCAGAAATTTTAATTATATTTATTGCATATTGTATGTTTTATAAAAAATGTGTAAAAATAAGAAGATTGATTGATTGAATGTGGAAGTTTTATGGCACAAGATCCAAGGAGGACATGCTGCGCCAAACAATTTGTTGAGTCAGATCTAATGGTAAATTGCACACAATAATTTCATGGTCATAAAATAAATGAAACTAATAAAATTGTTTATCTCAAGACACATATTTTTAAAAGTTCATAAAAATCGATAAATAGTGTAATTCTATAAAATACACAGTAAAAGTAAAACGGTACATGGGTAAGAAATAAGAGTGAATAAAATCAGATAAAACAGTAAGTTATATACAATATAAAATACCAATAGCTGGCAGAAATGCGAAAATGTTAGGATGATGAATTTCATCTAACAAATCCCTCATACATAACATAGTGCTATTAAAAAAGGTAAGACGATGTTGGTTAAAACAAGGACAAATGGTTAAAATGTGATGAACCGTAAGTAAAACATTACAAGAGTCGCATCTGGGAGGAGATTCTCCAAACAACAGGTGAATATGCGTGAGTAGAGTGTGGCCGAGTCTGAGGCGATTTAGCTTTACATCTGCATTACGTAGACGCAATACAGGTAATGGGTCTACATATGGTTTGATGTTATAAAGATTATTTTGAGTTTGAAGTTCCCAATGCTGTTGCCAAAGAGACGAGATGAGTTGCCGAACATGTAGTTTAATGTCTGAGAATGGTACCAATATTGTAAATTCAGTAGTTGCAGATCGTGCTGCAGAATCAGCCAACTTATTCCCTGGTATACCGACATGACTCTGTATCCAGCAAAATGAAATATCAAATCCTTTCTTGTGAAGTGTGATTAATAAATGATTAATGAAGCATAAGATATAGCATATATATACTTTCGGAGTATATTAAATACTTTCATTCGGAGCGTGAAGAAATCAGCTGCAATGCCAAAAGCAGTGAAAACGGAACAAATATCAGGGATTTTGTAGCTATAAGTATCATCAGCGATGATGAATGTAAAAATAAGAAAGTTTGATGCTTATAAAGAGTGTGTCAATCAAAATTGTTCAAAATTTTAAAAACAACTTAAGAATATAATTTCAGACATTATCAGATGCAGGGCCTGTGCTAAGCATTTGTCACTTTGCCAGATGTGATGAAATCGTAAATTCGGTGAAAAAATTGTGTTTTGACGAATGATTTTTTTTTACAGAAGAAAAAACTTTACAGTCCCTTTAATCCTGGGGGGAGGGGGATTCTTCTGAACAAATCCTGTATTCTTCATTAGATTACAGTAATTTCCATTAGATGCATCGATTAACCAATTATAATTAAGTTCAGTAACAAGAGAAATTATATAAGCATGAGACAAACTTCCGTAAAATACAGATTATCGTGTTCATTGCCGGATCATGCAATATCACACAAATTTTTTTCAAGTAATAAATATTAAAAAAGTATCTGTAAAATTGGAGAATCATCACCAATGTATCCGTGCACAGCCTGTGTCTATAATATCTAACTATGTTGCCTAAGGTTTATTCGTATATTACTACTCCAGTTTAAGAAGTAATCAACCCAAGAAACCCAACCAATTACTATTTCTTTTCCACAAAGACTATAAAACACCTACATCTTTAATAATCTCTCTCATTCACTGCTTCATCATCCTTTCCCAACTTACTAACCCCCGCACGTTAAAAAATCAATCATAAGAAATTGTTAAGATTTGCCTTTTCTTTTGGCTAAGGATTTTGAAGTTTGGCTAATACTTCTCAGATTTCTCAAATAATTTGAAGTTTTTAGAGCAGATGTCTGAGATAGTATGCTTATTGAATTAATTTTTTTTTTACTTATTTATTAAACAGTTTATTAAATAATACAAAAAAGAGGGAACAAAAACTAAGAGAATATAGCATTTGCATATTAATTTTAGAGAAATAAATAAAATAAAATTTACATTTGTTTGCCACTAAAAATCAGCCTTTGTTGAGCAGGAGGAATACCTTCTTTCTCTTCAACTCTCTCTTTAATCCTTTCAACCTTCATTAAAATATAAAATGTTAGGGCACAGGAAAATTTTTCTTTTATCATTCATAGTTCAAATTCAAAACATGATATTTTATAGAAAATTCACAACAACTACATATAAATTAGATATGTATAGCAATAGGAAAGAATGTTGCGATTTCATTTATTTAAGAAGAGAAATAGAAACTGAATCCTTATTTAGTAGTCTTAGAAGATGCTTTTTCAAACTGAACATTTTACATAATGATAAAATTTTTATACTGCATATTACCTTACAAAAATAGTAAATTTCTGATTAAAAATAATTATTATCATACAGACATTATGGTTTTGTGTAAGGAGTACCTATTAAATTCTTAAAATTAAAACCATTAAAAATATTACTGTTATGATAAATACTGTTATGACTAAAGCATTTGGCAAGGTTAGAATGGATTAATCCAAGGTTAAACTGCCCTATCTAAAACCTATTTGTTCAAATTATGTCACAATTTTAAAAAAAAAATATTGTGATAAGTAAAATGTTAACTTTTGAACAAGAAACAAAATGAAGACAAAGTTTTTGTTTCATTAAAAAAGTTTATTATTATTTTTGATATTGCATTATTTAAAAACCTAATTTATCAGTATCAAAAGCATATTTAAAGGATAAGGTATTTGCTTTTGTTGTTCAATGAATTGTGAAGCTTCGAAAGTTATAAATATTTCCATATCATATTATTTTCCTTTAATAAGTTAAAGCAAATTGTATAAAAAATATCAAATATTTATTAATATATGTAATTATTACGTGTACAATGGTTACACAAATAGAATTTTTACCATTTTTAACACCCAACCCTGATTTGGCATGTACATGCATATGCATGTTGATAACTAAAAATTTAAAAAAAATTCTTACTTTATCAGTAGGTTCTATGTCAATTTCAATCTAAATAAAAGAAAATAAAATTAATGCAATGAAAAACATTAGTTTGTGAAATATTTAATAACATATATAACTAAATATTACAAATGACTGTAAACTAGGCAAACTTTTAAACTTAGATTTTCAACAATAAAATTTGAAAATAAATATGACTGGTCATTTTTACTTAAGACTAAATTAATAAATGACTTTATTACTTAAATTAAGACATTATTACTAAATGACTTAAAAAACAGCTGAGTGTCATTGTTTTTGTTATGCTTATCTTTAATGATATGAATTAAGTCTTTTACAGAAAATTTCTTGTTTCATTTAATTTGGAAAGAAATTATTTCTTCAAAAGAATTTTTTATTCATTTCTGTAATGAATAAATTTGTAACACAATCTGATTAACAACTGCAACAGTTAAGTGAAGTAGACTGGAATTTTAATTGTTTATTATGACAAATTACAAGCAAAAATAATTAAACAGTTTACAACAACTTTTTATAAAATAACTCAATACTTAATATTATAAAAGTGGAAAAGCAATAAATAGTTGCATCTCATTTCATAAAAACTTAATTTTATAAAATTACCAACCACTTTTAAAGTCAGATTAGAGACCAAAACATACACTGGAGGTAACTTTCCCTTGAGATGCTCAACACAAGAACTGAACATGATAACGGAATGGAATAATTTATTAAATAAACAATTTTTCTTTACAACCATATTATAACCAATGACATATATTTTTAAACGAATTATAAATTATAATAAAACTAGGGTGCTATTACTTTGAGAGCTGATTTAAAGCATTACTATAGCGAAGAGGTAGTTCAGATAATTCTTTTTTTTTTTTAGGTAGTTCACATTTTACAACTTACTATGTTTTTTTTTTCTTTTCTTTTTTTTTTTTTGCTTCAAAAAGTTTCAGAAAGACTATTATTTCAAAAGGTAGCATATCAAGTGCATTAAAATTATAACTCTATTATTAAAGTACAGTACAGAACCCGTTATCCGGAAATCAGAAAACCGGAAAACCAAAAAATTGGAACGAAATTTAATAAATTTTCCAGCCATTTTTTTTAAAAAAATGTTTTTTTCCTCAGAAGATTTTAGGATTTTTCTTTCTTTTTTGAAAGATGTTTACCTTACCATCATTTTGGAAATAATCATTAGTGTATTACTTCATCGTTTTTTCTTCTTTTTAAGATTATTTCCAAATTTTTTTTTTTAAAGTTGGGTTTAACAATAAAAAAAACAGCTTTTTGTAGCGATTCATATCCAGAATAGCGATGGTCCCGATCGTTCCGGATAATCGGTTCCCTACTGTATAATAAAAGATAAGTACATAATACAACAATAAGAAACAAATAACAGTAAATCATCATACTAATGAAGTAACTTTGATTTAAACAAAGAAATCACAAAAACAACAGCTTATAATCATATATTGCTTAAAAATATTCAACTTTTGAATAAATATAAATATTTATAATGATGCCAATGACAACTTTTCTTCAATTTTTTAGAATCAATAATGTTTAAAATTTTTTATTTATTATGGTACAAAATGAAAAGAATTAAGTCTATAGCTCGATTTATTTAATTGTTTTATACTTTATCAGATTAAAAAGATTATCCACATCAATGAATAAAAATAAGTGTAATAAGTAAAGGATGATTAACTGTTACTCTAGACTTTTTTCTTTTAAGCAATTACTTCTGAATATTCATTTGTATATGACAGCAACATGTTAAAATTATAAAATATTTTATTACAATCCCAAACTTTAAAATGCATAAGGTTCAGCATAAAATCTTTTTGAATAGATGTATAGTAATCTAGTTAAAAATTGCTGATGAAACTTTAATGAAAATAAAAATACTCAAACGTATGATTAAATTAACTTTATTTTGTTATAGCTTTAAAGTAACGTAAAGAAGCCTTAAGAGAGTTGGAAAAAAAAAAAAAACGATTAACAGTTTATACATAATTTGTAAGAAATTATTTTTTAAATTAATTACTTAATAGGCAGAAACTTTTTTTTTACTCAACATTTTGTCAAAGCTACAATTTGGTGCATCCATAAATGCTACAATAAAAATAAAAAATGCTTTTTTCTAGTAATTTAAAAACTATGACTCCTACTTAGACAAAGGAAACAACTAAAGGATAAACAACAATGAACAGATACAAAATCAGTTTACATAAAAATCACATTAAGAAAATGAAAAGAGTAAATGATATTTAACTTACTTCCTTTCCAGTCAATGTCTGAATTTAGCATCATGAAAAAAAAAAAAAGAAAAAATGTTGATAAATATCAATGCCAGAAAAACAATTATAAATTTTTAAGTAAAATGAAATAACAAAAATACATAGTTTGAATTAGGTCTTGTTAAAAAAAAATTAATGTATATAAGATTTTTTACTTGCACACAATTACTCAATTGTGAACAAAATTTTAATCAGTGTTTAAAAATTCATTTAAATTATTAATAAAAAAAAAACCAATATGTATTATCAATATACAGTTATATATTACAAAACTCTAATCAAAACAGCATTAGTGACTATAATAAAAAATAAGTAACTTAAGTCAAAAAAGGATATACAGTGGAACCTTGATTTTACATTTTCTATCGGACTAGCGTTAAAACATACAATGCAAGAGAATGCAAAATCAGGTTTTAAAAAAAAAAAATAATAATAATTATTTTTATTCTTCAAAAATTGGCATTTACAAGATTAACTATTAGAAAAAATTTGTAATTTTTAATTGTTCTTTGTTTTTAGATACAATTTTAATGTTAACCTTTTCAGTACTCGCTGTTATTTGTAAATTTGTTTTTGGTTTACATTTGCAAATAAATATTGTTTCAGAGTTTTTAAGCTTTGAAACTCTATTGATAAGTTGTGGGTATAGATAAGGGTCGGGTAAATACTTAGCGAGTATTTATAAATGGTTATTTACCCTTGCCTTGAATAAACACCCAAAATCAAGGATTTTATAACTCTTTGCTCGTTTTAAAGCAAATAATCATGATTTGAGAATTATAAGTTCTGAGAATAATATAGTTTTATTTTTGTTATTCTTCAATATTTTTTGTTCTTCTTATTCTTTAATTTTTAAAAATAAACTTTAGATATCAGTTCCAGAAGAAGTACTTATAAAAAACTATAAATATCTAGCACATGATACATTGTTGCATTAAAAAAATACTGTAAAAATTTTTGTAATGTGTTATGTAATAAAGTAGACATTATATTAAACGATTTAAGTTCAAGTTTAAACATTTTCATTTTTTTCAATGCAATGGATAAACTGGATTAAATGTTAAAGATCCTAAGTGAGAATAAGACTAAGATTTATAAAATAGTTGAAACTAAGTCTCTAAACAGGCTTATTTATTTATACAGTACAGAACCCATTATCCGGAAATCAGAAAACCGGAACGAAATTCGATAAAGTTTCCCGCCATTTAAAAAAAAAAAATTTTTTTACCTCATAAGATTTCAGGATTTTTCTTTCTTTTTTGAAAGATGTTTACCTTACCATCATCTTGGAAATAATCAGTAGTGTATTACTCAATCGTTTTTTCTTCTTTTTAAGATTATTTCCAAAAAAATTTTTTTTTTTTTTAGTTGGGTTTAACAATTAAAAAAACGGCTTTTGCAGCGATTCAGAAAACCGGAAAAATCAGTTATCTGGAATAGCGATGGTCCCGATCGTTCCGGATAATCGGTTCCCTACTGTATTAAGTTGGTAAATTTAATATAATGGATAAAACTAAAACAATAAATTTCACTACTAAATTTTAAAAGAAATTTATCCTCAAAATTGTTTCATTTAAACCAAATTTGTCTTCTTTTCTTTTAAAGCTAAAAAAAACCATATTTAGTTTCAAATTCTTTGATGTTTTGTCGAGTTTTTTTTCTGTATTAATTTTATCCTATTAAAAATAAAAATACCCATAATTACCCAGGGTTTTAACCCCAAGTTATAAAAACCCAGGTATTTTACATCTATAGTTGTTGGTATAGCCTCTGATATTTTTTACTCATCTTCATGGGGAACAGGAATTAAATCAGATACTGAAGAAAAGTAATGTGACGTGGATTGCAATGGAATTATTATATTTATTCATTGATTTCTTATTAAAGTGATTATTTTTGTAATTTTTTTCAATAATTAAACAAATTGCACTTTTACCCATTTTTGTTTATAATTATTTAATATTTATAATATTAGATTATGATTTTCTACACAAACAATTTTGGATTTTCGACCAAAATTATCAACAAAAAAAAAGTTTAATGTCAAAATGATTAAAGAGTGAAAAATGATTGATCACTTGTAACTTTAAATGTACCTATATTTATAATTACTTCATATTTATAATAGCCACTAATCAGTTTCTATACCATAAATTTTGGTAAAAAATGTCAAAAAGGGTTTTTTGACATTGGCAAGACAGTTTAAACCTTTAATTGTCAAAAACTTGCCAACCCTTTTTAATTCTTATTACTATAACAATACCAGACTATTCAGTTTCAAGACAGCCGTTAGAAACTTATCATTCCAATATTTTTATTCGCATTTTAGACATCTAATACCACAATTTCCTTAGCATCACCAAATTGTTACATTTAATTAGGAGATATTTAAGTACCTTGATCTGCCACGCCAATTACAATCGCCAAGGTACCAAATAGATTTTAAATTCGCAAATTTTTTTTTAAAAAAAACATGTAGATGTTTGCCTGGGGGATGATATGAGTTTTAATTTTCGTATTGGTCCCTTTCTGTGGCTTTTTTTTTTATAGCTTCCCGCAGGCCGCTGCCCGGACCTGGCGATTATTCTGCCACAGAACAGGATACGGAAATCTCCCCTCTAATTAAGCAACCCTGGAATCAATAATAGTTGCAGAATAATATTATGACCCTCCAAAATAGTAGAGTACTACCATATATTTCAACAAAATATATTGAGGAAATTTCCATAAATATTCCCAATATATTTCTCTGCAAAGATTTTCTTTCAACTAGATATATTTTCATTAAATACTTTTTAGAATATAAATGCTTTTTTTGTAATGATTTAATATTATTGTAAATTTGACTTTTTGAAAAGATTTTACCTTAGATTTGAAGAAAAGAAACTTGTCACTTCTGCTTTTGAGTAAAACCTTTAAATTTATATATTAATAGACTTAAAGATGTGAAGTCCAGAATTAAAATATTTAAATACTGTTATACAAACTAGTTATAAAGTAAACCAGTATTATAAAGAGAAGAAAGAGCTAAATTAATATTTTGTAATAAATTTATACCAAGGAATTAGGAGATAAATAATAAATATATTATTCAGATTTCCAATATATGAACCTTTAAACTGTAAGGAACATTTTTAGAGCAAACTAATTCAAAATAGACTATATTCAGGAGCAGGACAACGTTAACCTTTAAAATGATATTTGATAAAAATAATATACTTAGAAAAGTTAAATGCCATATTGATTTTCACAATAAAGTTTAATATTAATTATTTAAATGTCATACTGTTTTTGTGTTAAGATCAGTAACGCACAGAGTAGGCAAACTATTCCAAATATGAAGGACAGAATAGAAGAAATATTTTTTTACTAACCTTTACTTTGATAAGCATTTTTACTAGGTGTTAATATTACTGTCAATTTTAATAGATAAAGAAGAGTTTATCAAAAAATTACACACAAATATCATAAACCGGGCAGATTTGCAAAAATTTATTATGGTTTTATGGTAAAAGCATTGCCAACTTTCAGAAACTGTATATTTTAATTTTTCAGTTTATTTGACCTAGGCTGATCCAGTAGAGATGGTAGGTTGGCACTTCTAAATGCAGGTGGCGATAGTGACAAAAGTTTTTTTTTTTTTTTTTTTCCGTCTTGTCAGATAAATTTTCAATCGTTATATTACGAAGGCTTTGTCGTTATATAAAGTAATGGTTTTTAGCGAATATTATGCTATTTTCGTGACTGCTGTGAATTAGTAACAGTTACTCATGACTGTTAGGATAAGTTTAGTCTAATGACCTGGATACGTAAATTAAGTAGCAACACGCCGCCATCTTGGTGACTGCAACTCTTTTGTGTACGGAGTGCAACTCTACGGAGTTTCAATTCTTAAACGCCATTTTTTATTGATCAATATTCTCATATTCCGAAAAAACTTTATTTTTTTCTATTTATTATTTTAATTCTTCTTTTCTCTCTGAAATTATATGGGTTATTTTATTTTTATTCCATTAAGTGAAAATAATAGCTTATCTATAAGTTAAAGCCTTCTCATGTCATCTATCTATAATAAATTTTTTTCTAAACTCCTTGAATTTTTTTTGCAGTCGGTTTGTTTATGAGGTTTAAAGCATTGTATGATTTGGGATTTAAATTATTATAGACATTATTGTCAGTGTTCAGAGAAAATGTTTTTTTTTTTTTCCCGATAGTTTAAATCTTTTTCTTCTTAAACAAAAGCAATTGTTACTTAGGCTTTTATAATAAAATAATTTTAGAAGTTTAAGCACTAATTAAATTTAAAATGAGATCTTAATTAAAATTTAAGATGCAAATAACAAAGTTGAAAAATATTTTTAAATTTGTTGTTTGATTTTTAAAATACAATGCAAATGCATGTACCTATAATTTTATTTTATATATATATATATTTCTGCATATACTAACTTAAATCAAATAAATATTCTATAAAAAATTGCATTATTTAGAATGGGTAATAACAATACGTCTTTTATCAGTTTTTTTTAATACTATATTAGGATAATATATATAGTTGTAATGGTGGATATTTTTAAGATTTAGAAATATATCTGCATTATCATAATAAAATATAGTTTTGAAGATTTTAATTTTAAATCTAGGAATAGGTAGGTTTTTCATTATCGTCATAGTTTTTGCGAAATCCATATTTAATAACTATACTTTTTATAGATGTTATATGAACCAAATTTAAAAAAGTTAAAGAAAATTTAAAAAATTTTCTCTTTATTTTTAATTTAAATTCTGAGGAAACCTAAGATTTTTAAAATGTCATTTCAAAAGTGTTGTAATTAATTAAATATTAAATAGTAATGTCATTTTGCCAATTGAAACTAATCAACAGCAATATATTAACTATAAATTTTAAAACTATGAAATTCAATCAAAAACTCAAACAATCTCTTCATAAAATGTTTTGTAAGTTTTTAAACCAATGATTTGCTATACAAAGTCATGTGATTTAAATCATTAATTTATTTTGAATAAGTAAATGAAAAAAAAAAGAACAGTTGATATAAATCGTGATTTAAATCAATGAAACCTGCTCAGCAATAATATTTCAAGTGATTTCTTTTAACTAAGTATGATCATTGATTGAATTGACATTACGAAAAAGTTTTTTTCCGAAATTTTATGTCCATGATGGAAGGTTCAGAAATTCATTTTTAAATACAGTTATTTTATTTATATTTATTTTATATAAGATAAATGTATTTATTTTTTATCGATTTATTTATTTTCATTACTAATATATGAGGCTTGCAGTATTTAATCACATAATATATTTCTTTTTTTTAAAAGCTAGATGGATAAGATTCAGTTGTGTTTTTCCTTTTCAATTAATTAATAATTTTTACTTAATAAATTTACAACGTAAATTGAAAAAATTAGCAAAATATTTCAATTTTGAAAATGAAAAATACTTACTGTGGTAACTTATTTAATCCACTCTCTATTTTACCTTATTTGTTTCTTTAATGTGTAAAATATTTTGGTTTTACCATTTTCGTTATAATACTGTTAATATTAGAAAATTAATTATGTGCGTCACTAGATGGCAGCAGTAGTTACGTCACTATCTCCGCTCCTTATTATGCAATACTTGGCAGAATATGGTTGCATGGGAGGAAATATTATCAGATTATATGATAGTAATCAGCGAAATCACAAATATATTAAACAAAGACGTATTTCGATTCGAACCTTTAGAAACGTCTTTTACCTGACAAATGATAATTGAGTTATTAGCTGCGACTACTAAATACGTAGAAAAAATTAGAACTAAATAGGAAGAACTAATTACGCTGGAGGCACTGTCAGTGCCTCTAGCGTAAATTTGAAACGCATACACCTAGTTGTTATTGCAATCTTATCATTAGGTTAAAGTTTATCATTTAACTAAGTAAATTTCTTGTTCACAACGTAGATATTAAGTATAATATGCACTTAAAGACCTTAAAATTGTTTATGAAAGAATATTTTTCGTTCGTCAAAACTCTGTTCCGATGGTGGCATTTGATGCCGCCATCTAGTGTCATATTTCAAAATTGTGGTACCTAAAGGAGCCGTGACCTATTATTCTGGTAGCCAAGGATCGAATTTTCATTTCCCTATCGCCCATACTAACTTTATAAGAATTATAGGAACATTCTATCTCTATTATTAAATCAGTAATAATTAGTTTGGAATATTTTAGGTCTCTACTTTGTTCATAAATTTTTTTATAAGGAGCATATTTATCAAATTTTAATTTTAAAGTTTAAAATATTTTTTAAACTTCGCAAAACTTTACCAACGCTCCAATCGCAACTTTTAAAAATTTTTTTTATTTATAACTTTAGAAGAATTATAGGAATATTCGATTTCTATTATTAAATCAGTAATAATTATTTTGGAATATTTTAGGTTTCTACTTTGTTCATAAATGCTTTTATAAGGAGCATATTTACCAAATTTTAATATTAATGTTCAAAATATGTTTTTAAATTTCGCAAAACTTTACCAACGCGCCAATCGCAACTTTTAATTTTTTATTTATTTATACCCTTAAAAATTAAAATTCAGTTACTAAGCTATACAAAAAATTCTTTAATGAATAAAATGAAGAAAAAAAAGAAGAAAATAAAATATTTATTAGTGACTGAATTGATAATGTGAAGTGTTGTTTCATCGCTTTAATACAAGACATCTTATTCAGAAGGTTAGTAAGTAAGTAAGTATTTATTCATCGTTGCTGTTCTATCTTTTTCCTGTAGCTGTTGCCATCCAACATATAATAAAATATTTATAATCATCTCATTAATCGATTCATTATCGATTAATAATAATACTACAAATGACATAATTCTTTAATTAGTTCGAAAGAATATATCCGGAATCCAGTCAGGTAATGCAATTTCCTTTAATTATTAGGTAAATGGTTTTCGAAATTTATAAGAGATAAGGTATTATTTAAATAAACTGGCATCAGTGTTTTGTGTACCATGGAGTGGAATTGTGTGAAAATTTGATTTACGATTTTCGGCTAGATAGATAATGTACTGGTGTTAACTAAATATTTAATTACTATAAAGGGGCAGTCGCCCAAATGATGAAACGCTTGAGGTTCTTAAAATTATAACAGTTTGTGAAAAAAGGTTGGAGGGTATATCATGCAGTGTGACATAACATTATGATTGTAATTAAAACATGCAAAATCAGCAAATTAAATCATTTATATAATTTACTGTTATGTCCTTCTTTTCGGATTTTTCATCGGAGTATCTGACTATGGACACATCCAACCATTATTGCTGCTATGCTCAGAAATGCAGTTAAAACATACAGCTTAAAAATAAAATATAAAATGTAATCTATAACGCGCGTTTGAGCCATGGTTGCTCAGGTGATATAGAGTGATCGCCTCCCAATGAGGTGACCTGGGTTCGATCCGAAAGATAACTGTTCGATTCGAATTCCGCACCGGGTTCGCACCGACCACAGTGCCAACTTTAAATATCCTCAGTGGTAGACTCATCATGGGTTTAAGTCAGGCTAACTATGGAAGGTTTTCGTGGTTTTCCTCTCTGTGTAACACAAATGCGGGTTAGTTGCATCAAAAAGTCCTCCACGACGGCTTATTTCTCCCTATACTTGATCCAGGAGTTCTCTTGTCTTCTGGATTTTGTTCAAAATCACAAGGCGGCAGAGTTGAACATTAGCGGCCGTAAAACCTAAAATTGGGCCGGTTTGTTTTGGCTGTAAGCTTGGTTTACAATCAATTTTGTTAGTCACAAAATGAAAGGATCACTAGCTGTTTATTGATCAGAAATTCTTCTAGAATAAAACAAAAAGTGAGGTATAGTTTGACTTTAAAAAATAAGAAGAAAGAAATGCCTACTCTCAAACTTTAATTTTAATATTTAAATTACCTAACTTTTTACGTCTTAATCATGCTGTTGAACTTCTTTCATGATAACTACTTAAAAACTACTTTAAACTAAAAGGAGAAAACAACTGCTAAAAATGTGTTCAATTTTATTTTTGTATCATTCAATTCATACCTCGGTCCTGTATATATAATAGAAGTAAAGATAAGATATGCCAAAAAATATTACTACCATCATCTTGTAGAGGTGTTACAGGTCAAGTAACGGAATTGACGGGGAAACGATTTGACAAATCGTTTATTGCTCGCATCATTGACGAAATCTATAGCCCTTGCCATTTACCTGCACTCTCCATATGATCAATGCAGTCTACAGACCACGCCCGTCTGTAAAATTAAATGCACTTATTTTTAGTTGATAGGGCCGATGCCTTACTCTGTGAATATAATAATTATTTCGCAGCCAAATGTTTTTTTTTCTTCTGACTAGTTCAGTATTATCATTACGGCTCGTAAAACTTTTATTTTTGCTTTATCATAGTATTAATTGCTATTTACTATACTAGAATTACATTAGAATTCTATAATATAATGAATAAAATTGGACTTATAATTCTCTTATATGTACTTTATTAACTCTGACTAGTCCATGAATAAGACGCAAATTAACGAATGCACAGCATTATTATT